TCATTTTCTAATTATCTTATCCATGTTTATGTTTGTGTGTGTACGTGCGTGTGGGAAAGAAGAACTATCTTTCAACAAACTCCTGTGGTGGACACCTGAAGTCGCAGAGGCCTAGGCAGAGAAACGAGGTGACACCAAAGACTGGGAGAAATACAGAAACAGAATGTCTTTGAATGTTTCTGTTACTGAAAAAAAAAGACGTTACACACAAAAAATACAGACTCATTGAACACTTCAAACAATTCGCAGAGGGGTCTAAGCACTCGATGTGGGAAAAGTTGTGCCAAGAAGTACGTTACGAAAAATCTCTGAGAAAATTATGGTTTTTCCACTACAAGATAAACGGAGGCAAACAAACTTCTGTTATGCCCGATGGACAACGGAGTGGTATTACAGTCGGATCAAAACAAAGGCGAGGCTATCCTGCACAGATTTCTCCTGCAGACGGAAAAGACAGATAGGGAAGAGGGGGGCACATGAGACGAGAATACATGATATCTACATGGGTGAAATGGAGGAAGACGATGATACAGTATACATCTCGACTGAATGTATCAGAGCAACACTGAAGACCTGTCTAGACACAGCTCAAGGGCCTGGTGACATTACATACTCCGATTTCAAAAGCTTCGAGGAGTCAAGATCGGATGAACTATCCGGGATTTTCAACAACACTGTGGAAACCGGCATGATCCATGACAGCTGGCTCCATAGCTACCTCAGACCTGTTCCTACGCCAGGGAAAGGCCGCACGAGAATAAATGGCCACAGAATCATCACACTCCAGAACACTGTAGGAAAACTCATGTGAAAAAATCGTTGCCAGAACGTTTACCCAGCATTAGAGTCAGGTGGTCTATTCCCTATGTGGTTACCGACCGCGGAGAGATACATGGTGCAATGCTGCAGTGTTTGCCTGCGACACATACGAGGGTTACCAGAGGGGAATAGAAGCGGCTGCAATCGGTACTAACTTTAAAGATGTGTACAGCAGCGTCCCATTCAACATGCTCTTATAAGCTCGAAAAGTACTGTGAGCTCGTGGCCGGTCTGAGGAGATACGATGCGGACGTACACAGTAAAATCTTCGCCGTCGAGGTAGGTGCCAGAGGTCTCAACTCCATTTCCACATATAATGTAATAAAGCAGCTTTGCTTGAAAGGAAACGAGCGTAAACAGTCACTAAAACAATTAGGCGAAGCTGCTGAAAGAGCTTCGATCTGGATTTGGACGCAACGGAACGTCGTGGGGGATAGACCCCTAGTGGAGAGGGGCTTCTTATCTCTTAAAGCCAAGGTTTCCGATAAATGTATGTCAGTGTCTCTCTGCTAAATGCCAAAGTCTAACACCTGTCCGATGAACTAACCGTTAACTTATCACTCTGGTCGTTAGGGTAGATGACTGTTCTAATTTGTTACCGCAACGACAATACAACACTAAATCTCACAACACCTGTCGCAAAGTCACCATATCGTCTTGTCCCTGTCGAGTCCGATAAAGTGCAGCAGGGAAAGATCTAGGCCTGGAGTCGTGACCAGGTCGGGCCCACCTTCTGAGATTGTCTAGGGAAGAAATGGGCCGAAACAATGGTCGACGAAGAATCTTTCCACTGATGAAAGTGGACCCTGCTGTGCGTGCTCCCCTGTAGAGTTCTTCTTATTGCTCATCAGACTGCTACTAAATATGCAGATAGAAACAAAAGTGGTCAACTGAATCGCAGCAGAACTATTCAAAAGAACAGTGTTGCATCGAAACCTCAACGCGTTCTAATGGGTCTGCCCCAGGGATCACCATTGTGCCCTTTAATGAGTACATGGCAGGAGTCACCAGTACACAAAGCGAAGTCCTTAACAGAAGAGTGTCGTATGCGGATAATATCCTTGTGTATCGTCGAGGCAGAAACAGGCACGAAATTACAACCACGCTACAAACGAACTAGACACTCTGTAAGTGGTCCCAGGAATCGAGAGCACAAGTAAACCCATAAAAGGCCTCCTTTGCATGGTTCAATCTGCTTACCCACACTGTCAATAAACCAACGCCAGTCGTAAGCATGTGTGCTGTGCTGTGGTCATCGAGAGAACGGACAACATGCAATACCTGGGCATGGCATTGGACAGAAGCTTGTCATTCAATTGTCACATAGACAACGTCATTCTTAGAGCTATAGTCATTGGCTATGGTCTGGGTCTCCTCACTGTCTTAGAAAGACTAGACAGAGTACAAAATCAGGCCATAAGACTCATACTCGGCTGCACAAAAGACGACCCTGCAACGCCATGCGATATGTCCTGGGTTTGCAAACAGATACAGAATCGCACAAAGCTATACACGAAACAAAAGGAATGCGTCCCAAAAGAGGCCGCTCCTGTGTGTTCAAGGGTGCAGATTTAACCCATTAGGTATGTGATTTAAATGAGATCAGTCACGGAAAAGAATGGACCACATCGAGCATGACCATGGAGATAGCCGTTGCGACTAGAGCACTAGCATGGACATCAGAGCAGGATTTGATTTGATTTGATTCAAGAACCGACATCACAACATTCTGGGCATTCCCATAAGTGCTCCGTCCCCATCTGCCAGTAGCATTCTGATTAAACGTCCGTCTTGCCTTTCCACTGAGCCTCGAGCATCTGTCAGAACCTCTTGTCACCCCCAACTGCATCAGTCTCACCACACTGTGGTGATCAAGTTGCTCTTCCGAATTGTACAAGCTCTCCCACAAGGCACTAACCATGTTTGCTTTATCATGCAACTCCACCAAGCTGTGCAGAGCCAGTCTGTCTGTCCGCCTGTTCATTTCCCAACACACCGGCATAGCCTGGTGACACAATCCAGACAATACTCATCATAAGTGTCTTCTGCAGCGAGGCATGCCACTCTGCACGAAGCATACCTGTCCTGATCTTCCTTGGCATGCTTTCTGAGTCAGTTACAATCATAATGTGTGTGTGTCGTGTTCTCTAGCTAGCGAAAAGCCGCAGTGACTGCCCTCACCTCCATTCTTAAGCTGGATGTCGTGGTATCGTATGCTAGGCTCTCCTGCACCAAACGTCGACCATTAACTTTTGCTAAGAAACCCCAAGCACTTCTTTTGTCTCTTGACACTGAACCATCTGAATATATACATATGTATATTTTATTGATGTATATTTTAAAAATATACACCATAGCAAACAGCAACAAGCGATTTATGCTCTGGCTGGGTAGTTAATTCATGAATAATGTCCCCTGTTTTAACACTCTTCAGTAACAGGAAAATATTTTATCCAGTGTTGCCACTTTGGATCTTTTATATCCAAATTTAGATCTTTTTCATTGCATTTAGATACTGTTTTTGACGTTTAGATCGTAAATATTTTTCTAGATTCTTTTTATATGGAGTTAAATATTTTATAGATTTTTTTCTTTTATTGTCAGTTTAATAATTACTGTGTAAAATATTTACTACAATATTTTTGTTTTGGTCTGGCACGTATATTGTGACAACTGCCATTACTTGAACTTTGAACTTTCACTGGGGTCAACGCACAAATACCTGGCAGCCCCGGTACTGATTAATAAAAACGCGCGTAAATCATACTAACTTTGTTTCAACTGTATCCTCACTGTGCTGACTTTGCGTTTCTTTTTCATGTGATTTAAAAAAAAAATAATTGCTCACCTTCTTATGTGGCTTTCACTTTGAAAAAAACATTTCAACATGCCAAAAGTAAAGTATGAGCAAAACATTTGGAAAGAGTGGTTGCATGATGACAAAATTAAAAACTGGGGATATGACCAAAGCTTGTTGTAAGTACTGCAAGTGTGAAATTAAAGCGAAAATACAAAACTCAAAGATTCATGCAGAGACTAAAAAAGCATAAAACTGCAGTTTCATTTAAAGATATTACACCGCTGACATCTGTTTTCAGAACTATACTGATAAATGAATCATCAAAAGTTGAAGTATAAGTCGCAATGTTTTTAATTTGTCACTGCGCAATTTTAAACTGTGACCATTTGATCGATTTGTAAAAAATCTTGGACTAGTTCAATTTGAAAAGTGTGATGTAGAAAGTATAGTTTAGGTTAGGAACTGAAGGACCCTTTAATCAGCAAACAGTTAGGCTTGAAGAATTTGGCTGTAATTGGTACTGATAATGCCTCAGTGATGGTTGGTATAAACAATGGCGTTTATGCCAAGTTGAAGGAAGCTAACCCATTGTTAATACTTATAAAATGTGTGCGTGATTCATTGCAGCTAGCATTATCACATGCTTCATCTAAATATTTACCAAGGAATTTGGAATACCTTATTGCTGAAACACTTTACTGGTTTTCCAAATCATTTGTCAGACAACAGCAATACAATTCCTTAAATACATTCTTGAATGATGGTTCCACACCACCGAAAATTCTGTCAGATTGCAAAACTAGATAGTTATCAATTTAACCAGCTGTTGAAAGAATTATAAAGATGCCTTATCAAACAGTCCATTCTGTAAGCTCTTCAAAGTGCCATGTCTGCCATGATACTACCCCACTCAAATGCTGATGTAGAAAGAATTTTCAGTGCTAGGAATTATATCAAATCTAACCTAAAAAACAGGATACAATTTGACCTCGTAAATGCTACCGTGCCATTAAAATTCGGCCTGATGAGACTAGAGAAATAAGCCTACTGTTCCACAAGAAATTTGAAAAGCTAAAGCATACCAGGGTCATTTTGGATCTGAAGCTTCAACTTCATTATCCAAGCTTAGTTTATCCCGTGAATCTTGTGAGGCAGACATCAGTGAAGGTGAGGACATGATTATGTAGGGTAAATAATAACAAAAGCTATGTAATTTTTGACTTTTTCAATTTGGATGTTTTTTCTAAATCTTTTCCACGCAGATTTAGATCTTTTTAGATATTTTTTGACACCGTTTTGGATATTTTTTGTCAAAGAAAAGTGGCAACACTGATTTTATCTAATCACTTCAAATTATAATCAGCAGACGTGAAATGTAGACATGGCCAATTTTATGTCGTTTAATCCCAAATCGTACGAAGCTGCTTGTACGAGAGTCCAGAAACTGAATTTTGTGATGCAGGAGTATCGCTGGGTCATCGACGCATATGTCTCGGTATAAAAATTAAATAAATGCTAATTGCTTTTTGTGCCACTGCTGTCTTAAGTCTTTTTCGCGTTCACCGGCAATAACTCAAGGATATCATAATCCAATTTTGTCCTTTTCAGGACAAATTTTTTTTGTTATTTGAAGCCCCACCCTGGCTTTTGCTAGGGGCCGCAATATAGGCAGGCCATAAATATGGCCAATTGTCTGAACGCGGTTTCTGGGACCTCTCCACGGCGTTCCTCATCCACATGGTGGCACTTTGTGTCATCGGGTGTTTATCGCTTGTGTGATGTCCTGGTGGGGTAGAAAGTCAGTCAGTCAGCCGTTCACCGTCAATAAACTTAAACAACTACTCCTATGGAAAGTTTTTGTTTGGTCTTGATCCAGAATTTGAGTTTTGCCTGTATATATGTTTTAAAGATCTGACTCGTTTGTATTCAGACTTGGTTCCTTGCCTCTCAGGCAGAGGGAATCTGGCTCTCCTCCGAACTTCCACCTGATATTATGGCAGCCATAAAATATCCTTACGGGGCTCAGGCATATGTAAAATACGGACTTTCTGCCAAGGAACAAATCGTGGCAAAACTAGGATTACTTGACAACTTCAAGAGACGCAACTTTGCAGACTATAGTAGCAGACGATAATAGCGACAGTTGACAATTTCTAGCGTTTTTGCACACGATAGTAGCGAATGGGAGGCTAAACTAGGTGACCACTAATCTCTGCTTAGAATGTTTATCTGTGAAATATCCTGGGAAGTAAAGGTGGCCACATTTTTTACTAGCATGATAAATATTGATCTATATATTATATTATGTTTCAATTGGTCTATAAAAAACATGTGTCTTAAACCTTATGCCTGGTGCACTATTGGTGTATTTGCATAGCACTTTGTAGATTTAGTAAAAATCATGCTAGTCACCTTTACTTTGTAGAACATTTTCTGGTACCATTTTGAGCTGTTGGCTTTGAAGCACAGGTCAGTAATAAAAAACTTCCTCACAGGGAATTCAAACTCTAACTACATGACCGACGGGCAAGCATGCTAGCCATTGCATAACTGTTGATCCTTGGGTCAAATAATAATAGTATTATTAAAAATAGATATTCATTGATTTGAGTTGAGTCAAGACATCACAGTACTTGGGGCATTCCCATGTGCGCTCTGTCCTCATCTTCAACAGCCAGTGCAGAGTTCCAGTACTAATGGTACCTGTTGCAATCTGGTTATATGTCGGTCTTACCTTTCCTCTGAGTGTAGTGAGCCGGCCAGACTCTCTAGTAACACCTAGGTGCTCACCATAGTAATCTTGTTTCTCTTCTGACTTTGTTACATGTTCCCAAGAGGCCTTGACAACATCTGCCTTGTCATGTATCAATTCACCGCTTAGTGGTGCAGATCCAGCCAGTCTGTCTGCCTGTTCATTCCACACCATGCCGGCATAGTCTGGAGAAGAAATCCTAAGTATGCACACTACCTGTGACTTTCCCAGTGTAGCTTGCCACTCTGCTCGAAGCATCCCTTTGTCAGTATGCTCTAAGAGTCTGTTACAATTATGATATGTGTATGCATCTTGTTCTCTAGTAACCAGAAAGCTGCAGTGACGGCCTCCACCTCTATTCTCATGGTAGATGTTGTGATATCTTATGTCAGGCTGTCCTGCACTAAAGATTTTCTATTGGCTTTTGCTACTGATCCCCAGGCACCTCTCTTCCCTCTCAACTCAGAACCATCTGTAAAGATAATCTGATCATCTGGGTGAGAATTGTCGTTAATCAACTGTTGGACTTCCACCTACGTAGCACCATCTGGCCACTTTGTGCACTTTCGGCACAATGTGATTATGACCCTACATAAGTCAGACTTTTCCTCTGGTACTCTGACCCACTCCTCTTATCGCCCAGTGTTCTCCAGCATGCATACTTCTCTTATTGTGTCTTCCATTTGTGCCACCCACGATTTTTCACCTTTTCAGCCTCCGACCCTTAATTGCAGCCAAAGCTTCATACAGAGAATGCTCTTTGTCTACAGTTACTCTGAGGTATGCCGCAGCCTGCAGCACAGTCTATAGTCAAGATCATTGTGCGTGACTGAAGAGGCACAAAACACAATGAATCTAGAGAAGACAACCTCGATAAAGAAGCCCAAAACCTGAAGTGGACCTACATGCCTGGTGGCTGAATGGCTCTAGGATAGGCAGTCGTGAACATGGATGTCTGGTCAGCGGAAGCGGGGGGCGCCATGTGTGTGGACTCCTTAAGGACATCCATTGCCTCTTCTTTAGCAGGCAGGCTCTACTAGGGGGACCGGCTACTTCCTGCCCCATAATAACTCTATCGTATGGATTTTTCATTTTATAAGAATTGTCACCGGATCTACAGAGCACCTGCTATGCGCTTGATGTCATCTTCAGCGAGCAGCGAAGAAGAGAAAACGAGGAAATGGTGAGAGAAGAAAGTAAAAAAACAGAAGTGCAGGAGCCAGGAGATTTAGGCGAAAAACAGAACAGCTAGGGTTCAATAATATAAGAGTGCTTTTACAATTGTGGATATTCCTGACAGAGAGGGCCCATATTTGAGAGGTTAATATATGATTTTGATATAATCATGCTTCAGGAGCTGAATGCAGACAAATATAATTGCCCTGGATATGTCAGTTATGTAAACCATTAATTATATTAAGTAAAGATAATTTTTTTTTTTTAAACATTGTCATGGAAACGAGAAGTTTGTTAAATTGGTTATTTTAAAACAAATTAACCCTTAAGGTTTGTTTGCTGTTTTAACACTGAATGTTTATATCTGGTTAAAAATTTGAGAATTGACAGCTCTAAGACAATTGGTCAGAGTGTATTTAAGAAATCTGGCATACCAATTGATAAGGTTGTTGCAAAATAAGACTTCTGTTACGCTGAAGATGCAAAGTTCATAGGACTATGAATTTACTAAATCTTAATACACAAACCATTGCAATCATAAAAGTGTAATTTTGCCATTTACATCAAATAACTGATTAAAGACCATCTTGAAGCCCAATCCCACATCAGCTGTTTGCTTATCTGACCAAAGTGAATAGTTGCCTGAATTTTTAAAATGGAAAACAGTGCAACTGATACAGTAATTATTTTTACATATGATTTTTTTGTTTTATTTGTTTTTCTTTCTGAAACACTTTTAAACGTACTCTTGTTTGCAAAAAAGTGATATTCTAAATCTGCATTAAATCACTTACATTCTTTTAGCTTACTTATATCTTAATTATCATACATTAATTATCTTTTTTTTTAAATTTTTTAAAATAAATCTTCAACAGGACTTTTACACCCGTGATCACTGGCTGAAGCTTCCAAAGTCTTTGAGAGATTACTTTGATGCTGTAGAGCCCCCAGAACTTGCTTGGCTGTTGATGGAGATAGAAAACAACAGTTATCAGTGAGGTGGTAGATGATAGCGATAACTCATTCTGTAGCAGGCAAAACATTTATTCATTGGTTGCTCATTATAAAACTAACATTCATTAATTTCTACCATTACCTTGAGATGTAATGAAATAGAACATTAGTATGGACTGCTGGGGCAAGTTGCCTTTATCTTTAAAGTACCTTCCCTACACTGACTATTAATGATATATTTGCACTAATAAAAACAAAGGGAATTGCAGAAGTGTAGCAGTAAGACGTTCACCTACAGATCCAATGACTCGACTTTGTTTTTAAAATTTCCTTGGCTCCAAGTTAGACCCTGTCCTGAGTGCTTATTGTCTGTATTGCATACGCATAAACAACAGAGGTTCAATATAACACTTATATACTTTTTTTTCCCCACACTACACTTGACATCTTTTTATTGGTATTTTTATTGGGGGGGGGGGGGAAGGGCGTATCTTACTAAATGTCAAAAATAGAGACTTAAAAGCTGCTGCTTCTTCTGCATTCATCAAAGCACTTAATTGTGATGTGCCCATTTACAGCAGGACTGCAGTATTTGTGCCTTTCGGCAGACACATCCGACTTCTTCAGGCATTTGTTACAAAATCGACCAAGTTCACACATTGTCTGTTTCACCAGTGACAGTGAAAGAACTAGTGTCAATGTACGTCAAATCTAATTGTATCTGCCAATTTAAATGCACCTGTAATGCTGCATATGTGGGCAGAATGGATTGATGACTGGAGAAATGGGTTGCTGAACATATTACACTATGGGTGGTAAAAACAATGGAAAACAGCAACAAGATCTTAACAACAATGAATCAGGTGACTGGTCGAAAAAAATCCATTATCAGCAATAGGATACCATCTTCTGAAGTCTGGGCACATGGTAAACAAGGACAATGCATTTAGAATTATTTACACTTCCGCCAACCATAGATTACTGCAATATGCAGAAGCGTCAGCGGTCAGCCGGTTTAATCCAGAACTTTGCTGACAGAAGAAAATGTTCGTCACTTTGCTGCTACCTTGGTGAAACAGACAATGTGTGGATGTAGTCGATCTGTGTTTCAGTTTGAAGGTTTCATTTATTTGCTTCATTTTAATCAATTGTTACTGTAGTATGTAGGTGACAAGATACATTGAAATATGCCAGGCAATAAATTGTGCATTCTATAGTTTGTATCTTCTTTGTTTGAATTAAGAATCGACATCATAGCAGACGAAGAGCTCCAATTCTGATGGCACTAGTAACTGTCTTATTGCAAATCCATCTCACCTTTCCTTTGAGTGCTGAGCTTCGGCCAGATCCCCTGGTGACTCCCCGTAGCGCCATTCTCCTCAGACCGTAAGGATCTACTTGTGCCTCTGCACTGTTCACTCTGCCCTGACAACTTCTAGCTGATCATACATCAGTTCACCACCAAGTGGTGCAGAACCAGGCAGTCTATTTGCTTGCTCGTTTCCCAACAGACTGGCATAACTACTGAGATTTGGAGACATATTGCCATGTTATTTGCAGTTGACTAAGAATTACTGTCTGGCCACTCTCTGAGTTAGAGTTGAATGCCTGTATCATGATACATGATGCAGAAGTTCTGAATTACCTATGGTGATGCCACAGGACCCAGGGCTTATACTATTTAAAACCTATTCCTACCTCTCTGCTGTCATTCTAGAAACATGTTCCAACCAGGAGTGTTCTTGAACATACACAGATTTTGTTTTCTTAATTCACAAAAGAAGTTTGAATATTAAAAGTGTAATTACTTTTGTATATTCCAGCTGATCATAAATTCAGGCTCTGATTGTCAACAAACATTTTAATGTGTTTTATTTTCGCAGTGTAATTCCCTTGTCCCTTTTGGCATTGCACTGCTGCATTCAGAATTTGTCTCTAAGAAGAGTGGCAGTTGATATAGACTCAGTAGAAACAAAGTCCTCCATTTCCTCGTCTCTGTGTACGAAGGGAGGTCACATTCCCAAAGATGTAGATCCTCAAGCAACAGTTTCAAATCTAGTGGAAACAGAAGCTAATCAAAAACCAAACTACAAAAATGGACAATGTATGGACATGATGCACATCTTCAGAAAGCATGTGAAGCCAAAGAAACAACACGAGATTGATAAACTTGGGCAAGTATGGGCAAATGTTTGCTGGTTTATTCTGCTGTAGTGTTTGAATATTGTTCTAGCTTGAATATAAGTTTAAAAAAAATAAAAATTTAAAGTTAGATCAGATGATTTTAGAAAGGAGACATCTTTGTTTTAGTAGGTATGTAAGTTACAAGTAGTCTTTAGTTCCTTTAGATCTTCCGTTAATTTAGATTTCTAAAGAAACATTGAATATAAAACTCTTTGTCTGACTGTCTATCCATCTGTCCATCGATTCATTCAATCGAAGAATGTCTGGAGGGACTGTGTGCTTGGTTCTTAATTCTTCAAAATAAGTTTTATCCTTTGCTTTTGCAGGCAGCTCTCCCTATCTTTTAAACTTCTCTCACTAACTCCCTTCTTTATGTGTTTTTGTGTTCATTTGTTTCTGTGCCTCTGTGGGTTACAGTGGAAGAACATTCTAGTTATGTTTTCTCAACATGTGTCCTATCCAACGCCAGCATCTTTTCTTCACCTCTTGGTCCACAGTAACTTGTTTAATTCTCTCCCATAACTCTCTCCATGAGTGATTCTATCATACCATTGAATTCCCTCTATTCTGCACAGGCACCAGTTAATAAATGTTTGTAGTTCATTAGTAATTGCCTTAGTTGTTCTCTATGTTTCTGCTCCATACAACAATACTGATTTGACAATAGAATTAAACACTTTTAGTTTAGTATTAGTTTTCATTTCTTTTGACCTCCACAAATTTCATAGTGCTATGAAACTCTTGCCTTTTGTATTCATATTTTGATATCTTACTCAATGCTCTCATCTTTACCTACATGACTGCCCAGTTAGGTGTACGACTCCACACCTTGGAGTGGGATACTGTTGAAAGAAACCATATTACTATTTGCCGGATTTATTTTCATTATCTTTCTATTTCGGTTACTGATTTTCAGACCTAGCTGTTGTGATCTCACATCAAGTATATCTGATTTATCATGCGTCTGATTCCATTAGTGAGAAATATCATCAGTGAAGTCCAGATTATCAAGCTGTTTTGTAGGTCCACTGAATTCCATTCCTGGTGTTAGCAATTGTCTTCTTATTCAGTTCAGTCTGTTGCCTGTAAAAATAGGAGAGAGTATGAAAGACGCCCATGTCGCACACCTGTTTTTATTTCAAATGTATCTGTCAGCTTTCCATTGTGAATAACTTAACATTCTGTGTCTTTATACATTGCCTTTACTAAGTTAATAATTTTCTGTGGAATTCTATTTTGCCCTATTGATTTCCAAAGATATTTCTTATCAGTGCTGTCAAAAGCTGTTTTATAGCATGAATCCAATGTACTGTGGTGAATTCAATTTAGTACTTTGCTCTATTATTATGCATAATGTGGCTATCTGGACGGTACAGGATATGTTTGGCCAAAAATCTGCCTGTAAATCTATCTTTTTATCAATAGCTTATTTTAATCTCTCCAAAATAATCCTACTTAGCATTTTCCCAGAAACTAACAGCAACATAATTCCTCTTTAATTTTTACACTCCTGTAGATCACCTTTGGGGAGGGAGGGAACAGGGGGGGGGGGCAGTTTCACAAGATATCCTTCTCTCCAGTCTGCTGGTACTTCTTTGGTCTCCCAGACTTTACAGAAAAATTTGTGTGGCAATTCCATTGATGCATCTATGTTGGCCTTAATAACATCTGCTGGGACCTGCCGCCTTTTCTTCCTTCAGAAGATTGATTGCTTTCCTAATTTTCTCTTTAGATGGTATCTCAAAGTTGATATCCAATTCTATTTCTAAAGGCTGGATATCTGGAGGAACCTCTGAAGCTTATCCAGTTGACTTACTTTATTTACCTACTAATTTCCTTGTGTCACTGTAAAGGTCTCTGAGGTTTCCTCTTGCTGTTGCTGTCTCCGCTAATTGTGCTAGGTCATCTAAATATTTCCTTTTATCTGCCTTTATTCATTCACCTCCTAATTTCCATATTAGCTGCTGTGTATTTTTCTTGAGCTCTAGCTTTACCAGCTCTAGTTTTGCTATTGTTCAAATCTGTCTTTTTACTTTTATTTCCTTTGACCATTTTAATGGGTTTTGGCATTATCCACGCTTTATGTTTCCGTTCTTTCTTACCAAGGACTTCTACACAAGATCATCCCAAAATTCCCTTGATCCGATCCCATCAGACTTCAGTTGCTTACCTCATCAGATAACTGCTTAAAATCAAAAATTGTTCCCTAACTTCTTTATATCTGAGATATCCTACATTATACTGGTTTCTGTGATTATAATATGTTAACATGTCTTGTAAGTTTCACCTTGATTTTACATACCAACAGAAAATGGTCAGTAAATACATCGGTACCTCTAAATTTTTTGTTTTATTCATATATGATCAATTTGATTGGTTGTCTTATGGTCTGGTGATTAATATGTTGCCTTGTGTATTCTTTTATTTGGACTGACTGACTTGTTAGCCCCCCCCCCCCCCGCCGCCCCAATGGGCACAGAGATTACGATGATTTATTTTTTAATTTGGAGTAAGTACATTTTACCCCACCAAGACATCACTCAGAGCGATAAACACCCGATGACACAAAGTACCACCATGCAGATGAGGAAAACCCATGGAGAGGTCCCGGAAACCGCTTTCAACTGTCTTTCTTTCATTATTTATAAAAATTTGAAGCTACATGTAACATTCCTCAACTGATTCAAACCAAAAAAATTATTCGGTTTAGTAAGGGATGCAATCACTAAATACAAATGGAGCAAAGAATTAACTGCTTTTACTTTCTGCGAACAATTAACTGATATACTTTCCTTAACCCTATTCTTTCGTTTGTAAAATGTATTCATTTAACAGCAGTTTTGTACTTTAACTTCTTTTGTTTCACATTTCTTTCAGTCCCATGAAGATTTAACCTCCTTTGTTTCGGTGTTATTGCTTTAACTCTTTCATTCCAAGCATTTGTTACTTTTAACTTATTCCACCCCAGAGTGTCTAGCTTTAAATTAATAAACAATTTAACTTTAGGAGTTGAACACAGACTCTGTGAGACATAAACTAATAATGCAGAGAATTAGGAATGATCTAACATTCTTATGTTACAAAAGAAAGCCTGCAAATTATATGATCTTTTCCGTGTATGGGTTTCAGACCGCATAGTGGGGAAAACAAGAATAGACCCACTACCTCCCCAACAAGCATGTCATAAGAGTCGACTAATTGGGTACTTCCTTCAAAGTCAGAGTGCATCTGCCTGGGAGGCAAGGAACCAACAATTTGCATACAGATAAGCCAGAGCTGTAAAACGGATGCATACGCAAAACTCAGGTCCTGGAACAAAGCCAAAGTCTAGAAATAGACGAACGATCAGGTTTTTCTTCCGGGGTTTACAGCCGGTGAACAAAAATAAGTAAACATCATGTCATCTCTGAATGGATCCAGAAACGCATGGTGAGTTGAGTGGGACTAAAAGAGTTAATTTTGTTAGGCCTAAACATGTACAGCTTCTTAGAATATACTAAGTTTAAGTAGCACATTCGTGGGACTGAGAGTTACAGAAACTAAAAGGATTTATTTTTTGCTATAATAATTAAAATAAGTAAATGCTGGAACCCACAGGGGCATAGAAATAAAGGAAGACCAAAAAACTCATGGAGAAGGCCAGAGAGTGAAATTAAAAAGATGGGGAGGACATAGGGAGAGCTGCATGCAATAGCAAAGCGTAGAATGACATGGCTCAAGTATAGACCAATGGTTGTTGTGGTTAACACCATGCTAACCACCTTTACTTCCCACAACGTTGCCTAGAACCCATTTTAAGCTGGGTCAGCCTGAAAGCCGAGGTCAGCTCTGAAAAAAAAAAACGTCTTAGTGCATATTTCAAGCCTATACCTTTGGGCTGGCAGGCAAGCATCTAGCCACTATGTACCACAACTCCTCCCCCCCCCCCCCCCATACTATATGTTTAACCCTAGAGTCTCAGTTAGTGACTCTTCGCTAAAGGAAAACTTGCATGGTGTGTTTTGTGACCTTCAGGTGATTCGTTTGCTGAGTCAATTGACAGCATGCAGCAGTGTGGTGGATGTTGGTGCTGGTCTGGGACATTTGTCACGGCTGTTGACCTTCCAGCATGGTCTCCATGTGACCAGTATAGAAGCTGATGATGGACATGCTCCAGTAGCTGCAGAATATGATAGGTAAACATGTCATTTGTGATAAAGCTATGTTTTTAGATACATTTATTTCTAGCATACTTTTCCCGTCAAGAATGCTGGACCCTCATACGGGAGACCGTATAATCAGTAAGGCTGTGGATTTTTTCTGTCAGGGGAAAAATAAAATCATAACCTGCACAAACCATGATGACTGCGCTAGCCACGTGGCCCTAAATCCTCAGGTTCAAAGATCCCCCCTGCCTACACCGCAAAAGTTGGTAAATCCAGTTAGTAATAGCAGTTAAATGGCAGTATACAGTTCGTAGCATTGTAAAGTGGGTACCATTAACTCTTTTATGGAGGGGGACGGACAAGCAATGTGATACTGAGTTGGTCACTTCACCTACCAATGCCTATCAGTTCACACCCTTATGACAGCAAGTGCCTGGTATTATTCCTCTTCAGGGATGCAAAAGTACTTAACCACAAATGATGGTGCACCATTACCTTCGCTCATATTGGTCTAGATCTATCAACGCCTCTTAGCAGTCTTGGTACACATTCCCAGATAAGAGGGGGGTGAGGGGGGAGTGGGACAAGTCAACATAGATAGAAAATAGAATTGACATTTCCTTTAAAGTCAGAGTATAGTTGCCTGAAAAACAGTGAACCAGAAGTCTGCACATAAATAAGCAAGACCGTAAAAATGATTTTCGTGCAATGCTAAAGTCCTGGAACAAGGCCATGGTCCATTAATGGACAAACAACCAGGACTTTCTGTGGTAGTTTACACCTGATGATCACTAAAAAGAAGGTTCCACTTAATTTTTGCCACTTGTCTTTCAGTAAAGCAAAAGCCTTCAACCATCTCAAGCTAAGCCAACCTATTTTTTATTATCTCTGTTTTTTCCTTCTTGGTGGCAGTGTGGTCAAGCCATTTACCTTGTGCTGTAAAGGCTGTGGATTAGTTTACAGCCTGTGATTATGACTGCATTTTTTATCAGAGATCCCAGAAGGTCATCACTGGAACTACAGAGTTTATTGAAACAGTTGTTTTGTAAGGGTCTCTGTGTCAAAGTGGTCTAACTGTTTGCCTTGCACTGTGAGGGCTGTGGGTTTATTTCATGGCAATGCCATTTGTTTTGCTAGCACAGTTTTTACAGTTGCCTGGGAATAGTTGCCAGAGCTACTATGTTTGTCTTGGATTTGAACCTGCATAGGTTGCATTTTTACAACTTGGCTCTCAGGTCAATCAAGTCTAAAATGGGTGCCAGATAATATCCTGGAAGGTAAAGGTGGCCAGCTTGATGTGGACTACATCACCTATTTAGTTATGTTATCACAATCTGCGTCATGCACATTGGGCATTCCCATGTGGGCTCAGTCCTTCCTGGAATTGCAATCTGTTCTTCTATATATCCACATTCTTAAGGCTTGAATTCAGTGTTTTTTTTTTCTTGTTCAGTGTCCACATTTCTGCACCATGATAGTGTAACATTTGACTCTTCTCATCTTTAATTTATTGTTTTCTCTCTAGATGTGCTAGTGCTAAGCCTCAATTTCACACTTGGACGTACATTTTTTTCTGATAAAGAAGTTAGAAGCTAGATCAGAAGACCTTAAATGTCATATTATACAGTATGGTTTTTGTGTTTCAAGTTATTTATAATGTGGAGCATTTATTAAATTGATTTCAGGCAGATGAGAAAAGATGTACACAAAGTAATTGAGAAGGTATGATTTTGTTTTTAAGATTTGTATATGTTCATGTTACATGTAAAGATGTTTTGAAAGAGGTTATGACATGAAGACAACTATCACCAACATCAGAAAGAAACGGTCATCATATTTTGGCCACATTATAAGAAGATGAAAACTGGAGCACTTTGTGGCAGCTGGAAAAGTTTATGGAAAGAAAGATAGGGGAAGACAACAAGAGCAGACTATTGAGCGTCTTTTGTCATGGAATGGGAAGGTGTCAGCACAAAAACTGATACGTGCTATTGGAGACTGCACGGTGTGGAGAAACATGATCAGAGCCATGACAGTCATCCAGGGTGCTTGATGAGAAGGACATTTAAATAAAATTTAAAAAAAAATACTAACAGAAAAAGGCATATTAGGTTCTTTAATTCACACTGTTTCAAGAAAGAAACTGACTCACAAAGAGAACTGATTGTCCACATCAGAAAGAGAGAATCTACATTCTTTGGTCATGTAATGAAAAGGAGAAAACTTGAATACATCATGACAGTAGGAAAGTTGGAGGGGAGGAGAGGCAGAAGGAGATCAAGAGAACAGATGCTGGACAGTGTGACATCAAGGCATGGAAGATATCTGTGTCAGAGTTGATTGAAAGTACACGAGACAGAAGGTTGTGGATGGACATGACTAACAACACCACACTGCATGGACTTTAAGAAGAAGAAGTTCACACTGAAAGGCTTTAGCAGCACTTATTGATTGAACACACATTTGACATTATCCTGCTTGGTGTTCAATGGCTGTAAACTCTATCAGAAAGTTCTGGTTGTTTGTCCAGTTCTGGACTTTCTCCTTTTTCCAGAACTTCAATTTTGCATGCACATTCGTTTGACAGATCTGGCTTAATTGTTTGCAGACTGTCACATCTCAGAAAGATGCATTCTGACTTCGAAGGAAACACCCCCAATTAGTGAACTTTTGTAACATGCTGTACGCTGTTATTATTAACGCTTTACATAGACTAATAGAATTTGTCAGCTCTGGTGTACGTAATACTGGATTCATAGAAAAAGTACATTAAGGAAAAACAGATCAAGAGGGTATAAAATTGTCTTTGGAGCCTGTAATAGCTGTGGTTTCCTTTAAGGATTTATGTGGTAGTAGCTAAGGGTCTTGCTGAGCACAGTTGGGAAAACACAATTACAGTATATTATGAATTCAAACTCTTTCATCCAGAGAGTGATGGGTTCTTTAATGTTGAATTTATTGTAGAAGAATATCAATGAATTGAGCAGTGACCATACAAGGCATATACTAAAAGAGGAGAAGGACATAGAGCAAGAGGTAGACCAAGAACAAGATGGGAAGATAACATAAGAGAGACTCTACAGCACTACGATGTGTCTATGGTCGAAACAGCCAGAAAAGCACGAAGCAGGACCTTATTTCTCCCTTGACACCCAAAGCGGTAAAAGAGAACATAAAGACAAAAGAGGACAAAAGAAGAAGAAGAGCAGTAACTGATGTTTCATCTCTGTGGCTAAGTGGTAAAACCATTCATCTTGTGCTCTCGGGTTTATGGGTTCAATTATGGACTCTAATCTTTGATTTGTAACTGCAGAAGTTTCTGAAATCCCTGGAGTTTTTGCTGTAACTGCAGATGTTTTGTGCAAGCTTTCATAGATGACAAGCTGCTGTGCAGAGAGAAGTCAAGTCACATGGAATAAAACTTGCTTTAAATCAGTTTTTGCCCTTGGCTGGCTTTCTGTGTCTGCTGTATTGACTAAAGAATAAATGTTTCCTAATTTTTTGCTGAAAGAAAGTGGAAATTTTAAATTTCATAATGTTTGTTTTAAATACAGTAAATCTGTTTGTACAGAGTTGTTCTTACAAATATTTAGGTTTATAAAGAAACAAAATGAGAACTGAATGTGATCACCACATCATAATTATAAGTCTTTGTAAAGTCTGAACTGAAAGACATATGAGGCGACAATTGACTGCAATAGACAGCATGCATGGCAGGGAATATAAGTTGCACGTATATTATATTTTATCATTTTTCTTTTCTAGAGAAAAGTTTTGTCATCAGACACACGGTCATCAGTTGAATCATCAAAGAACCAAGACATGTTAACTGTCCACAAGAAATGCCCATTACAAAATGAAACCATGTATTGCCATAGCAGTGTGAGCAGAGAATGCCACAGAATGGACAGTTCTGATCACTACGACACATTCTGTAATGGAAAGTCATCATTGTGTTCAAGATCCTGTTGCGAAAGTGGCAGTAAACATGACTCACACAGACATTTTCATCCATTGGCTGTTGCCAGAGGAAGTGAAAACCACTGTCATGTGTCATCAGATGGTGACAGTGCTCCAGTTTGTGTTGTGTCGCATGGCGAGGAGTTTTTACCAAATCATGTAGTTCACAGAGTACAGCCAGACATTGCATCCTCTCAGTTCTTAGACATTCTCAAGTTAAACACTCATGGAGGTATGTTCATTATCTTTTTGTTATTTGGTACAGCAATTATCAGTAGTGGTTTAACTTCAATAGCAATGTCTTTAAAAGGTTTAACCCATTCACCCTGTTATCATCATCATCAGTTTCCACTGTTGCCGTTAAGGGATGTGGGGAGGAATAGTTTGCAATCCATTGCTTGATGGGCATCATTGGCTATTGCCATTCCAGTTGATGTAGAAGCTCTTTAATGTCATCAGTCCATTTCTCCTAAGGCAGCCTCTTGCTTTCATATCAGATTTTTTTTCACCCTGTAAGAATCTTGGGAAAAAAAAGACCTTTTTGAAATAAAAAAATGCTTACATATTTCTGTGAACTCTATTCTAAGAAAGTATAAGAAGAATGAATTTCTAGATCTCGACTTTTATGGAGTTAAAGGGTTAACAGTGAATGGATCGACTTTGTTGCACCAGATTTTTATCACTTGAGACTCGCACTCTTTGCAGAGTGACAAACCTCCTACCATGAACATGAACTCTGTAGCTCCAGCAGTGATTCCCGAGAATGTAATAACTGTATTTATGAACCAAACAACACCATCTGGAAATGAACTTCAGAGCACATAGAAAGCAGCTTCACTACCGCGCCATGGTAAACACACATGCAGACAAGCGCCTCAGTCTACGGAACTCTACACACACCCAGCCAGCCAGCCAGCCAAATTTTTCTGTGTATAAGATGCCCCTTATCTATATGACAGCCCCTAATTGTTTAGCCCAACTTGTGACCTTAGTGCCGGCCAGCAAATGTACTGACCACTGCACTAATTGGGTTTTATTTCTTGTCATCCGTATTAATTTCCCAGTTTAGTTGCTGTTTTAATTATATGAATTGAAAATGTTTTTAGGTTCACGTAAATCTCCCCTGACAAAGTAGGTCACTTTTCATTCACAAGTTTGTTGGGCTTGTCGACTTTCCTGAAGGTTACAGGTGTGTCCCACTCTGTTGTTTGCTTTCTGTGTTGTATTGCATTTACGTTTTCATTCCGAGAAAGAGAATGCCTGTAACATAGGTTGCAGCACTCTCTGGGAGAGGTGTATTAGGGCCAGTTGCTCCATGTTTTTGGAGCCTTAAAAGCACTGGCGTGCTGAAATATACAACACGCAATATCAACGGCATCGTGGAACACCCCTGTAACCTTGTGCCAAGTGGACAGGTTTAGGAGCTACCAATCAGAAGTGACCTAGTGTTATATGGGCGGGGCATGTGGAGATTAACGTTAAGTGTACCGCAAATGTTAGAGTTTTACTAGAGTTTCAGTTAACCTACATTTAGTAAAATATACAGCAGAAATGACTGAAACAAAATACATTAAAATTTTTTGTCAGGTGAGGTGAAAGAGGATGAGAAACCCTCTGACTTTATTCTTGCTGGTTTGCATGCATGCGGAGACTTGACTCCAACTCTTCTGAGAGTATTTGTCAACTGTAAAGCTGCAATTGGACTTGCATCGGTTGCATGTTGTTATATGAAAATGACAGCATCTACATGGTAAGAACAGTGGTTGAATATCATCACCAGTTTGACAGTTTCAGTGTGAATGCTGATACCGTCATGTGCCCAAAAATAGTAGAAAAACAAAAATGAAGGGCCCTTTTTTAGGCCAATTTCACATTAAGCTTATGATGGTAGACTCATATTTTTATAGACCAGTTTGTACTCGGGGTATCTATACAGATGGTTTGGTGTTAAGAGGAAAGAGAAGTGCCTGGGGGTTCGTAGCCAAAGCCAGTGGAAAATCTTAAGTGCAAGACAGTCTAGCATATGGTACCACAACGTCTAGCATGAGAATGGAGGTGGAGGTGGTAACTGCAGCTCTCTGGTAGCTAGAGAACGAGATGCATACACATGTCATAATTGTAACAGACTCTAAAAGCATGCTGAGAAAGGTGGAGACACAGATGCTTCACGCAGAGTGGCAGGCTTCACCGGAAAGGTCACAGGTTGTGAGCATACTTTGGATCTGGCTGGCTCACTACACTCAGAGGAAAGGCAAGACGGACATAAAACCAGACTGTGACCAGTACCATCAGTATTGGAACTCTGTGCTGGCTGCTGAAGATAAGGACAGAGCATGCATAGGAATGCCCCGAGTGCTGTGATGGCAATTCTTGACTCAACTCAGCACTCGAAGTGTGATGTGGTCAACATCGTGCTGTCTGCCTTTACTTCCAATTTTAAGCTGGGTCGACTGTTAAGCCAAGGTCAACTTGGAAAAATAATCCAAGACATTTAAACCAGCAGCTGAGTTTCTAGCCAGTAAGCTGTGTCTGTAAATGTTTTTTATTCTTAAACCCACTGACTACCATACCCTGTAACTCTTGCACTTTCCCAGATATCCCGTATTTTAGTGTTTACTAAAAAAATGCCACAGCTTCACAACTATTTAACATACACTTATCATATTTTGTATTTTGCACCAAATTGAATGGAGAACAAATTTCAAGAACAAATTTTGTAATCTTTTTTGACACCATCATCATATGACTCTCGAGGAAAAGAAGAGCAGCAATAAAATCATTTTTGTGGCAGTAATTTAAACTAATACAAATTCCATGACTTCACAGATAATTAACTCTGTTTTAGAGGATCTGGACTTTACAGATGACATCAGCCTTATATCCAGCCGTCATGTGGACGCTCGGGAAAGGATTGAAAGACTTTTAACAACAGCCCTTAAGATAGGACTCAAAATAAACACCAGTAAAACTAAAGTAAGGAGAAATAATTTCAGAACAGAAAATCCAATTATCTTAAATGATGAAGCAATAGAGGAAGTTGAAGAATTTATATACCTTGGAAGTAAAGTTACACTCCAGATGGGAAAAGGAGACGTGGACGACCTAAGGAAACCTGGAGAAGGACAAGAGAACGGGAAATGAAAGAATGTAAACTGACATGAGATACCATGGGCAGTAAAGCAGTAGACCGGCGGCAGTGGAGATCACTAGTGAATGCCTTATGTGTCAACAGTACCATGAAGAGGATATAGAATAGATTATTAGGTGAGTGCACCAATGCTTGTACTATCACTTTTACCATGTGAATTTCCATGCATTATTTTCCATTTGTTAAGGGGCAGTAGATTTATTCCTTTTTGTTCCCATCACCAAATTGTGAGACCTGGAACCCACACAGGGACGGAAAAGATTCAACTCATGCTACTGAAGAGCACACCTCGGGCAGCTGTATTATTAGGCAACTGCACCAGTGCCGGCGCTATCACAGCTGCTTTAGCCTTGTTTTTTCCATTCAGTATTTGTCCATGCATTGCTGTATCCTTGTGTCCTTTTCTACACATTACCTGTTTGCATTGATTTATTCTTTTTGTCCTTGTTTTGACTCAAATTTTTATTATTATATTCTTGCTCACAGGGAAGATAACCTCTTTACAGTCGTCCCTATGTGGGATGCAATTTTTCATTATTTGAAGCCTCACCCTTGTATTTTGCCAGGGGCCCTGAATATAGCTGGGCCATGAATATGGCCATAACGGCTGAAAGAGGTTTCTGGGACTTCTCCACGGGTGATCCTCCTCCGTATGGTGGCACTTTGTGTCACGGGGTGTTTATTGCTTGTGTGATGTCCTGATGGGGTACAACAAGAGAGAGAGAGAGACAGAGAGAGAGAGAGAGAGAGAGAGAGAGAGAGAGAGAGAGAGAGAGAGAGAGAGAGAGAGAGAGAGAGATAACCTCATCTGATGAAGTTGTGTGATAGTGCACAATAATTAAAGTTAAATTTCTCAGTGTTTGTTTTACAGTTTGACTCCAGAATCTGCCATACTGGACAACTACCCCATGAGTCAGTTTTTGAGATGTCTTCCATGTTCTCAACTTGGTTATGAAGCCAGGGAACTGGCCTGTCATTTTGCTGATGCATATTTTGCCAGACTAAAAGGTAAAGAATTCACTAGTCTTTCTTGAATTTGAATCATTATTTTGAGGACTGTATGTCACTTCTTCTGACCTAATGTAAATCTGTCGAGTAAATATAAAACAAAACACAAACTGTCACTACTGTCTGTATGTAACACTTGTTAAGGTGGTTTAGACGGGGGGATTTGAGCCTGATTTAGGACCGTGCGGCTAGTGCTGTTGCCATGAACTGTACAAGCTAGGATGTTCAATTTTGCCCCTGCCAGAAAAACTATTGTATATTTTTTAGCTTTTGCCCTGTATTTTGAAAGGCAGCCAGATCCCCATTCACTCTTGGCTGCACCATTCTCCTGACCTTGATTATCTCATAGTGCCTCTGTACTGTTCACTCGCTGTCAAGGAGCCTTGTTACCATCTAGCTTGTCATGTATCACTTTACCACCAATTAGTGCAAAACCTTAGCAACACACTCAGGTATGAGCATATTACATTTTGTCCTGGAGCCATAATAAACCAGTGCTTAGCACACTTGCCTACCATCTTGGTAGTTATAGGCTTAAATGTTAGCATCAAGGCAGATCTCATATTGTCCTAGGCATCTCGATCATCTGAACCTAAAATGATGCTAGGAAAATATCTTGCAGAGTAAAGTCATCCTGGATAATACTGACCATATCACTTATAGAGTGTCAGTTGGTGCTGCCCTGTGAGCTGTGTTTTTACAGTGGAATGCGTTTCATTTGTGCAGTGGTTGTGTCGTGGTAGTCAATATGACCAGTAACCGGATTGCCTGTGAGCTGATAAAATACCTTATGTAATAAGTCTACCTGTGGCTAAGTCGATGCGAACGCTTCGTAATGCCGGGATGCCGGGTTCGATCCCAGCTGCGGGCCATGCGCCTTGCGTTGGTATCAACAGTGGTATTAAGAAAGCCGACCGTCGAGAAAGCAATTTACTTGGCGTAAATTTGCCTAGAAAAACCACACAACAGCCAGGGGCTATTGGGGTTGGTTCTGCAACGTCCTGTAAAGGATACACAACTCACCTAAATAAGTCTATATGCCCGACTACTTTCATAAACAACAAACTGCATTTCTGGTAGCCAATATTGGCTTTAGCACAACTATAGCAACTGGAATATACATTTACAACGTGTGCAAGTTTCTGGATTTTTCTGGGATTTTTCAAATGCGACAGTGAGGGACATTTCATTTGATTTTTACTGGCACAGGAAAGGAACAAGCGCAGGGAAACCCAATTGTGGTGAAGTTGAAACCTCGACTAAGATTAACACTGTTTTCTCAATATGTTTAAGGCAGGAAAAAAGACAAGAAAGCATTTTCAAATATAGGTTGCCGCTAAAAAATTATGCATCAATAATTCTGTTCCTTCAGATATCTGGGATTTCAGAGTGCATTTTCAAATGAAAATTTTGAGAAAGGTTTTTTTTTAATTTTAAAAACAAATTTGTGGTAAATAAAATTCTGAAGAACTGTTTTTTATTCAGTTAAACAAAACTTTTGTAGAACTGTTTTATTTAGTTGGTGAACATACAATTTCATTTGCTTTTTTTTTTTTAGTGTTTAATTTTCTTTCTCTGAAGGTCTGTACATGTAGTCTTCTTCTTCTTAAAGTCCATGTCGGCAGTGTGGCGTTGGAAGTCATGTCAGTTTTCTCCTTCTTATCACATGACAAAGAATGTTGATTGTCTCTTTCTGATGTGGGCAGTCAATTCTCTTCATAGTCATTTTCTGTTAAATATTTACAATAAATAAAACCATATCCGACATTCCTCAGGTATGCAAGTTGCCAATTTTTTTAATCTCTACCTTAACTTGATATAATCCAAAAGTGTTTTAAATTATGTTCTTCTTTAGTGATATCTGGCCAGGTGCTTTATCTGTGGGCTATAAACTAGGATGCTAGCTCAAGGTCCCTTAGGTTTCCTCAACTGAGTTCCTGCATTGAGTTGTCCATATGTGTTGATTCCTCCCTATACAAAAATGGTTGACATATTCCATTTCTGGGGACAGTTTTTTTTTCAAGTTTGCTCTCTGGACAGTTGCAGTCTCATGCTGACGAGAGTTGTCTTACCCATCCCACTTCAACATAGCTCAGCAACAGTATTATGCTACTTCCGTGAAAAATACAATGCATTGTATGTTGGAACGCACGTAAAATAGCAGTTCCTGACGAGGGAACTAAACTATCTGAAAGAGAAGTCACCTCTGCCTAAAACTAACACAGCAGCTGGCAGCCAACTTAAAAAACGGAAGTCCATATTTGAATAAATTGTGTCATGTATTCCCATATTCCATTGAACCCATCTGTGTGTCAGAGAGGTGTCGTGATTGATAATAGTTGTGATATTTCCCCTCTCCTTGTTTTGCTTAAAAAGTATTTTTTCTTGTCATTCTGTAATGTTATCCATAATTTATTTTTTTCAGATCTTTCAGCTCTTCGCCTTCAACTTTTCATTGTATAATAATGTTGAAAGCTGCTTGACCAAACTATTCAAGCTTTCACATTCTGAATTAACCTAAGTGATTCTGAATATGTACTTATTTATTTCCCAACAGCATCTATTTTTAATTTCATATAACTAATACATTTACG